AATGTTGACTGAACAAAATGTTTTCTATTGTTTATAGGGCTTCGCTGAGCCTTTTCTAAAGAATATTCAGGATCTCTCCAACAAGTACACTGACAAATTATGCCATGAATTCATGTTTACCAATTGTTCAAATATGAATTTATTCTCACTTTTAATTTCTTTACAGGTAAAGGTAGTGATATTTCTGTTCATATGTACAGAAATATTACTATTTATTGTAAGTTGAATACACTTACACTTCACTTATTTAAAGTATAATTACTTTCTAAGAAATGGTTTACCATTCAGATTTCTAGAACCACACACTATCTAATCGGTACTTAAGACAGATCAGTCAGGAGGTAAAACATTAGACAGATTTGAATAATTAGTCGTTGTATTGTGTTGAAGACTACAATTGATTAATCTCTTATTGACATTTTTCCATGTTCACTCCGGCATTCAAACCCAGACCTAACGAATAATTGGAAGATTCAAGTAAACAATATCAAGTGAATTTAAGCTTCACCTCACTGCTCCTAGCACTCAGTAACTATGTAGATTAACTGATGGCGTTTGAACTAGATTGTACTGGGCTCGACCGCAAGAGTGAACATCACCTTTGAGATACAGACACATCCACTTGACAAGTTCCAAATAGGAACTAAACATACGTCCTTGATTTCACTATCAACCACTATCTATCTTTGCTTTCAAAGCTTCTTGTTCAATCATTTCATACAAATGTATGAAACTCTGCTTACCAGTGTCATCAGTTAGTTTATTTCATTCATGTAACCATTATAACCATATAATAATAATTCTCTTTAATTTTATAGATGGCAATATTTTACAGTCATTTCACTGTCGGAAAATCACGATATCGATTATTTTATCCAAATTATACTTTGGCAGCATTATTATTATATATTATGTTTTCAACAGCTTTACCAATCACTGATGATCTGGTTTATACCATAAGGAATAATTGCAATGTAAACAATTTAAATGTAACCGATTGGAATATAACCAATACAACTGAATGGTTACTTTATAATGATACAATCTTATAGTTTCACTTCATCACATGCTATAAAACGTGTTTCCATATTATGATAGTATATGTTATTCAAGAGAAGTTATTGTATAAGATCAAAGACTTTGAGGATAAAGATGAACATATAATTTGTAGTCTCGAATATTCTGATTTGTGTGTAGCGGCTTTGCTTCGTTAATCAATCACTCCTGTAATCGTAATTATATAGACCTCAATAGTGTTTGAGAGAGGTGAGACGACCCTTGAGCGACACTAAAGAGACCTTGAGAATGTTCACCTACATACGACCGTTAAATGATGGTTATAAACCGGTGTGTGAGAAGTCAGGATTAATATTTACAGTTGATAGCTAGGTTTGGGAATCAGATATATGTCTTCACAACGAACTAACATCAGCCATAATGCCCAAACTCTATTTAGTTAAATGAATGAATTAATCTCGCTCCAAAACTCAAACCATGTTATCGTAATTCTGATTGGTTCGCCCATAAATTATAGTCTTGCTGGCGAAGAAAATCAACAGCTGTAGTAGTTTATTAGAAGATCACAAAACTATAAGCATATCGAGAGTATTTGAAGCGAGGAGGCGAATAAGTATACCCGAGCAGTTTCATAAACAAATTTATGGTCAAAATGCATAAGGTCAAAGGCAAGGCAAGACAAAGACTAACGGTAAGACTTCAGTACATATATACATGAAGAGGACGATGAATCATCGAGTGATATTTAAGCAATCAACGTTTTCACACAGTTGTTTTCTACAGGATAAGGTTTTCGATCCTATGCCTAACTCTCCCCCTTTATCTGGGCATCAAACGGACAACAGATCTAGAAGAGCTATAGGTGGAGCCGATGTAGATGTAGTTACTGCTTCATTCCATAGACAACAGAAATGAATGTGTAGACGCTAACATATGTTCAACAACATTAAATGAAGTATGTGAACTAATAATGTGATCAAAGTGAATTAAAATTTACTATTGAATGGGTGGTTAGAGGCCGCACCACCTGAACACTACACTCGATATTATCCCAGCACTAGACCGCCTCAACCGACGTCTCCTCTCCCAGCCTCACAAAAGCATCCACAGAACTTCCCTCTTTTCGCATGTTCTTTGGCAGAGATAAGAAATGTAGTGAATGAGAAATTAGGTGGGTATAACCAATTCATAGTGATGTGACGGGAAGAAAAGTCGAAATTCACTTGAGTTAATCATTATGAGTCTTGTTCAACATTACCTGTGTTTTGATTCAATGTGATGAATAATCGGTGTTGTAGTTGTTCTCTCGTATGATATTTTATTCTGTGTGATATACGATATTCTTGTATTCTTTGTTAGTAGGTGGTTTAGTGGAACACATAGACGATGGAGATCAGGGAGGAAGGTACCATAATGGCTGACCAATCCAAAGAACGATCGTAGGGTAGGAATATCCCTAGTTCTAGGCACAATTCTCACAGTTTCAATGTTCTCTGGATCTGGTCGTTGTCATTTTTTAGGGTTGCTAGGAGATCTTAGGTGCCGAATCTAGCATTCAAACAACAAGACATAATATATAGTTTAACGCAGAATCACAGAATATCTTGGTAAAATATGAAAATCATAGATTCAATACATTATTTACACATTAATCATCAGCTGTCCTTTATATGCTCCATGATTCTTCCAATTCTACTTTTATTTCAATTCCCATCTGTCTCCTTTCTGTCTTCTTCACTTTGAATTTCTCAGTCTTCTACTGTCAGATATTCCATTTCTGACTGGTGGTACACTCTAAGTATATCTGTCAACATAAGTAGCATACACCTCAATTCTGTGCTTACAGATAGGCTAAAGAAAAATTATGAAGATGAACTAACGTACTTTCAAGAAAATGAATTTCCTGAAACCGTTTACTAAACAGAAATCAAACATAATAAATCAATCGATTTGACATTTAAGTATCAGAAGGGGTTTTGTGGATAAACATCAACATATGCTCACTGGTGACGGTCTCCAAAAGGGGGTTCCTGAAGTCCTAGTGAGAGGCCGTGACCACTGAATTTGCGGATGTGTCGTTCAATTTCGTGGATTGGTTGAAGTTAGACATTGACACCGTTCGATACCGGCCTGCTCAGTGGTCTACAGATTAAGCGTTCGTTTGGAACTGTATCCCGCTAGTAGCCACTATCCATTTTTGCTTTAAAAAGCCTGTGACTTAAGGTTATATCGATGCAATCCGTACAGGATGCACAGATGTCAACAAGAGACACATCAGTTGCACTTTCAAACAACACCTGGAGAAGAATGTATTGTTTATAAATGACAACCAAGTAGCCCAACTAACTGAGACAAATTTATAAGTAAGGTGATCGTTCAAAAGAAGTCAAAGTAAGACCATACAAATTCAAATAAACCTAAAACTATCTTGCTGATAGTTGGCGAACTAATTGAGACTCGTCATCTGGATGTACCTGCATCTCAGAGTTGATGCTCACTACAAAACTCGATCACAGTACCGTTCGCTTCAAACATCGTCGCATTATGTACTTTGCCACTTAGTTCATTCAGTATATCTAGCCGACGAGTCCCAAATAGGATGAGATGCGCATCAAATTGGACTCAACTACTAATCACTATTCATTTTGTCTCAAAAGGCTTATAACTTACGACTATGTCGAGACAATCAGTACAGGATGCATATATGCCAACAACAGATTGATCGATTGTAGTTCTCAAACAACAACAGGAAGATACAAGCAAACAAACAAAACCAAGAGAATTATATTGTTTCGTTAATCAGTTTGCCGTTCATTTCAAAGAATTTGTTTATTTATTTTTTTGATCAAATACAATGTCCTTTGTATTCAATCATGTTTGAGTAGACAGTTAGTTAAGCAAAACATCACAAGTTGTATTTTTGAAAAAATTTTATTCATTCAAGTGTTTTAATGAAGTTAATATAAACAACATTTTGCATCATGTACATAGTATTACACATAGACGTTTTACTAAACACAAGTGAGTTAATATTAAGATTATAAATGATCATTGAAAACCTGACAGCACTAGATGACCATTCCATCTTACTACCGTACTCTTCCGTAGTGCGCTTCCACAATCCTCCATGCGGCAATCGAACCCATGACCTTCGAACTCGAGCTTATTTCTTGACATTCTTGATTATAGTTATGATGTCTATTGTAAAATGATATTTCATTCGAAACTAATTCTGAAAAATTTGAATTGTTACAATAAAGCTCTATGAAATGTGTAATCAAGATATTGATAGTTTTTAATAGAAAACGACGAAATGACACTGGTTTGCATACGATTTGCACTTACATATATAATAGTTGAGATCATGAGTCAATTGAAGTTAGACCACTATGGGAAAGTTGGAAGAGCTGGACAGCCATCTCGTCCTAGAATATGACTCCTCAGCAGTGAACATTCACGATTCCGTCTCGCTAGATTCCAACCTAGGACCTATCAGTCTCACGTACGAACGCTTAATCTCCAGACCACTGAGCCGGCTGGTGTTAATATGTAACTTCAACCAATCTCTGAAATTGCGCCACCGTTCCTCATTGTCTTCAGTGAGTTCCCATCTGACAACAGACCCGGTTGAACAACACTGGTAACTGCTTCTCACTAGAATGGCAGGAAATGCCTTTTAAAGACCATCACTATTGACCATATTTTGAATAATACCAGAAGGCGTTTTGTGGATATTATAGTAATTTAATGATTGAGTTCATGAGTCCATTTAACCTAGACCATCATTCAAAAACTTGGAAGCACTAGTTTTAGTCTTGTGTGTGGTTACGTGGATACGCACTTCCTGGGAATCTCATACCAGGATGACACAGCTGTCTAATACTTCCAGATTTTCAATAGTCGCATAATTTAGATCAACTCATGAATTTAACTGTATCATATTGCCCAATTTGATTTATTTTATATTCTAATTCTAGATAAACATGTTTGGAATTATTCAAATTATTCTATGGATTTACACTATAAGAAGTAAACTTTCGAATATGTCGACATATACAAAAATAGTAGATTTATGGTTTTGAATTAAAGTTATTTACTATGACAGGTTTTCATAATTCTTACCATTCAACTACTTAATACACTATTCATCATGATAATTTTTTGCTACCGTGAGTTAATGAATCAATTATTATCTTCATTCTTCATTAGTTATGTAATTCGATCTCTGGAAGACTCAATGGTACGATCAATTGTTTTAAGTGTATTAGTGTACGTTTTCCCAACTTTATTTACATGTTATTTATAATCTCAATAGATGAGATCATGAGTCAATTGAAGTTAGACATCAAGAGGTAATTCTTGGAGTTCCAGTGAGAAGCAGCAACCAGTGGAGTTCAATCAGTTTTGTTGTGAGATGATAACTCATTAAAGACAATAGTGGATGTATCGTTCGATTTTGTGAATTAGTTTAAGTCAAACATGAACACCATTGGATGCTGGCTCAATGGTTTAGGGGTTAAAGGTTCGTGCGCGAGATCGTTAGGTCCTGGGTTTGGATCTCGTGGGGCATGATCGTGGAGGAGTTCCATCTTGGGACAAAACGGTTGTGCAGTGTTTCTAGGTTGTCAATGGTGGTCTATCTTCAAATGACTCACAATCTCAAATATTGAAATTACTATAATACCCACAAAATCCCCTTCTCATATTTATAATCTGTTATTTTAATAATTTTATGCTAAATTTCCACCAATTAAATCAATCCATTGAGAGAAGAAATTTTTCTGGACGAACCGATCTGATATATCACAACAAGTTCACTTGGTATTGTTTGTCTTGTATCTTTCCATCGAGGTGTAAGACTGAAATTGATCAGTCTGTTACTGGGTTCGAGTCTCAGAGTGAACATCAACATTGAGATGTAGGTATATCTAGCTGACAAGTCCCAACTAGGACAAAACGCGTGTGCTCGTTTCCATTGTTGGCCACTATCCATCATTGCTTACAAAATATCTTAAGAAGTTGTGAATTTTGGCGCGAAATTCATTCGACCATATGTTTGGCATTTTAACTGATGTCATAATTCGTGATGAAAAGCCTTAATTCTAATTCCTAATCTTAACTATCAACTGCAAATCATTATCCTTATTCCTCAAACTGCCTCATAACTGCCATTCAACCCAAAAGTAGGTAGGCACTCTCAAGAACACTTTGGCATCACTAAACTGTCGTATATATATTATGACTCCACCATTTATTTACTTACCTGTCTTTGTCGAAAAGACAAGCACACTTCAGAACACCGCTTCAGTTAACTGTCCAAAGGAGGATTTGAGTCAGTTGATAGGTCAGTGTTTGATTATATGATTAACGTAAACCAGCATCATAATGATGGCAAGTGTGAGCAGTCAATGTTGTCTGTTCAATAGTTTTAATTTAAAAATTGTAAACATTGAAGAAGAATATTGTGATTTATATCCTTCTATTAATCAGTCCAACTGACATTTTGATTAGATTAATCATTGACCAAACTGTTCTCAATAGTTTATTCATTGAAATGATGAGATTTATTTAGACACTAGACTGTTAGAAATGTCTAACTCTATTTATAAAGCATTTCATGAACTGATGTTTATATTTGACATTGTTTGAATGACTTCATTTCATTTGTGTGAATATGCTGACTGAACATTTGAATTAGTTTCCTAAGCTCTTCTAGTAAGTAACAGGCTAAATCCACATGACAACATGAACACGAGAGGATAGGTATGAAATGTGGATAGAATGTTTATTTCAATGTTAGCTTGTGTTCCGAAAGTCATCAGTATATACATTTCACATAACCATGTGCTTCTGAAAGTTCCCGGAACTCTTCTAAACATGGAATGAGGATGAGTAATCATTCAGTCAGAAATGTTAGATGTCACTCTTCACAATCTAGATGTTTCTTGGGAACGTCTATACAATGCTGATTAGATAAAGCATTTTCCAGAGTTTTCTGTGCCTTCTAAGGTTTTTTTCAGGGAATATCCTGGATCTCCCTAACAATCTGGCAAGTAACATGTTTTAAATAAACTTCCATAACTGAATTACTTACATCGTAGCAATGTTAATTACACGGTTAGTAAGGAAACGGAAATATAAGGTCACATTTTGAATGATGAACAACGAAGAATTATGATAATAATGTTTCATTAGGTGAATTCATGACTCAATCAAAGCTGGACCACCATGTAAGACCTGGAATAATTGAACGACCGTTTTGTTCTGACATATGACTCCTCAACAGTGCGCATATACGATCCCACACTCGTGATCCAAACTTAGAACTGATCGGTCTCACGCGTGAACGCTTCACCTCCAGACCACTGAAACAGCATCCAACAGTGTTAATGTCTAACTTCAACAAACAATATTTCCTTAAAAATAATCTATGAACTGAACAAACATCGTTTCTACATGACCTATCTAGCTATCGTTTTTTCATCCGTAACCGTTGCCTTTTTAATGTGTTACGATATTCAAATCCTATTACATTCATATGTAGGTGATAAGTAAATCCTCCACTGTGTTTAGATGTATATTTTTTTCTCTACTTTATAGCTTCATTGCAGTTGTGACTGCATTATTGATTGCATTTGTGAAGGAAATAAGTGATACATTCCCATTGAATGTTATTACTTTGTTTATTTATGTAAGAATATTGAATTTAATTGATGAGTTATGTTCTAATATAACTGAGCAACATGATTGTTCAATGTATTAAGCAAGTTTATATTGTTTACAGTAACTTGATGGATTATATAATGAACTTTTGTCAATGATTGATCTATACAGTAATACAGATTAAATGTTTCGTTCTTCATTTGTACTGTCATACAAATATTAAAACCTTTCTGTGTATAAACCAATAAAATTGAATCTCTGAACGATTCCTGGTGTCGGTTATTACGTTAAGCTCATTTAGCTTATTCTTTCCTCTCGATTATCCGTTTCGTCTTAGTGTGGGACACCTCGTGTATGCGTATTGCTGAGAAGTCCCATATTAGAATGAAACGGTCGTCCAGTGTTTTCAGGTTTTCAGTGCTGGTCTAACATTGATAGATTCACGATCTCAATCAAAAACGTATTACGTAACTTAAGATTGTGCATTTTGCAGTAGATAGTTTGTAGACGTCTCAATCATAAATTTCATAGCATTTTATACACTGAAAAACGTTTGCATTGAAATTTGTCTACGGAAATTGCTGCATTATTCATCTACTCTTCACTTGGTATTTTTACGGAAGTCCTCCAGAAAAATCAATGAACCAAGTTATATCAATTGACCTTCATGTAGAAGCACAGGTCGCCTACCAACATTCTTCAACCAAATCTGTCTGAGCAATTCTTTCCAGTTGTTTACAGTTGTTATTCATCCTGATCATGTCTGCTACAAGTTATCGTTGAAGTATGTTCTTTGGCCTTCCTCTTTTCCGTTTTCGTTTAGGATTCCAAGTTAGTGCTTGCCTCGTGATACAGTTCGATGATTTTTACTATGTGTATCCTATTCACTTTCGACGTCTTTCCCCAATATCCTCTTGAGCTGCAAACTGTTTTGTTTCCTCTCACAGAAGTCGGCTGTTGCTGATGTTTTCCGGTCAACCTACATTGAGTATCTTGTGTGAACAATTGTTTATTAATACTTAAAGTAATGGTTAGAATGACAAACGTTTATTATCTTATTAGAAGTTTGACAAACAGTCTGAATCGATTAACAATCGATTGATAAATATTATATCATCAAACTTCTGAATACATTTTTGTTTAATGGTGTGCATCGTCCATCTCATAATTTCAGACGATAACCTTAGCTACAGCTATTGAAATATTGGATATATTGGTGGGTATGGGTGCTAAACTTGGTGCTTTTGGAATCAGTTTAACATTATTTACATCGGCATTACTTATTGGTGCAGCTATCAAAACAAGATTAGCAGATTATTTAACGGCAATTGTAATACTGTTTATAATCGCTGCTATTTCATTTGCTGTAGCAAGTATTTTAATCACAATTTTTAAACACTCGGTACGTCAATAAGCATAATTAATTCATTTACAAATTAAGTCATCTTGATTTTGCCGTATTCTCTTTGAGATACCCTCAGGTGTACTTCACTGTTACTTCATACTATGTATATTTTCACAACAAATACATACCGGTGAGATACTACTTAGTATTTAGACACCTCAATGTCGAGTGCCAAATAGCACGAAACTCGAGTCCAGAGTTTCCTGTCGACTAACTCCAACCTCTATCTTATCACAACATAATGCGAACAATGTCGAGTCACCTAGACTAGTGACCACATTGCAATTTTGTCGATAGGATTCGACATGCAGTAAGAAGGACCTGATTCACATGACATTGATCACCACACAGTGATCAATAAATTGTACATACATCTTAGTGCAACAAGAGGTCAGTTGCGACCTGGATAGCCCAATGATAACGCTACTGAGATTTTTATGTTGGATCCGATGATATCATTCAGTCTCGTAGTAATTTAGAAAATGAACTTATATTTGTCATCAGATTTAGATAAATGGGATTCCGGAAAATATTTATCGTCGTTCTTTCAAATCAGTAACCAGAATCTTAGCCGACCGACTATAATTTATGGACGAATCAATGTGGTTTGAAATTCAACAATCTCAGCAGTGACTACCTTTGAGAAAAAATTTCCGGGGCTCCAGTAAGACCAGTAGACATAATAGGTGTCGGGTGTAAGAAAGTAACTTATCGAAGATAATTGCGCAATGTCGTAGATTGATTGGAGTTAGATATTAACACTGTTGGATGCCAAGACAGTGATTTAAGAGGTTCAGAATTCCAGAATGAAATTGAAGACCCTGGATTCGATGGGCAGAATATATGAATTATAATTGAAAGAATGTAAGAAATGTATAACCAGCAGTAGGAATATTGATAATTTCAGTACGAAGTTGTAGAGATTGTAGAATTCCATTTGCAAGCACTAGACTATCGTTTAGTTCTAATAGGAAATGATTCAGCGATGTGCATCTACGACCTTTACAACCGAGATTCGAGTTCAGGGCCTTCAGTGTGACACACGTATGCTTAACATCTTGAATTGAGTGTTCCAAAGGCTGAGTATACGTGATCTCAGTAACATCGTTTACCTCATTCAATCCACTCATGCTTTCATAACATTCGATTTATATACAACTTCCGTTAGTTAAACACGAACTCATCAATATTTTTAATTCATTTTCAGTCAGCAGCGATCATATTCTACATACTTACAGATATATTGCTATTTGTTGTGAGTTAAAGTCATCTATATTTCATTTATTTAAAGTAAATTTGTAGTGGCTGGCACTATGTCAAGCCCATCTCATTTATTTTAGCTCACGGACGGACCAATTTATTCATTCTTCCTGAGTCATATTTTGAACCTTGTTAATTACTCACTTTGCCTTGCCTTGCTCAGCTCTTTGACCAGACTCGCTGAGTGAGTTGTCTCACTCGACTTCTTTATTGCATATCATTTTGTTTCGCTTCAATATTCGATCGACAATTGTACAAATATACATATTCAAAGCTTCATTCTCGTATTTGACTTATTTTAATTCCCTTATTCACTAACGCCAGTTAAGTCGATCATTTTATATGAGGGTTGGCGATATGTATCAGTCGATAACGATCAGTCGTACGGTCCGAATAGAGTCAGATATTCAATGCGACAATAAACATTTACTCTCTTGATGTTTTACAAATCATCTTATCATTTACATTCCTCAAGGATCTGTCCCATGGATCTTCATCGCCTTATTACAATAGCTGGTGAATGTGACATGAAAATGTTGTTCTCATCAATGAAATCGAGTCTGGTTTGGCGTATTACACATTTTCCAATATGAGATTCTGGAAATTGTTACGTATTTGACTGAGTTCGTAAACTGATTACTTTCAGACAACCGTTGAAAACACGGAAACATTAGACAGCCGTTTCGTCTTAGTATAGGTTTCCTCAACAGTCTACATCGTCGATCTCGCTCACAAGATTCTAACTCAAAACCTTCAGTCACACAAACGAATGTTTCACAACTAGGTCAGTGAGCCGGCATACAACGATATTAGTGTCCAACTTCAATTGATCCACGAAATTGTGGAGCAATCTTATACTGTCTGCGGTTAGAAACTGCCTCCCTGCAATAGGTTCGAATCCCTCGGGCTGGATCGTGGATGTCCACCACTAAACTCGAATGAAATGCCTGTCCATTGCTTCCAGGTTTTCTCTGATAGTCTAACATCAATCGATTCACTATCATTATTTTAATATGTAGTTTCAATAAAGATTGTTTATTTGTTCAACCAACACTAGAAAAGGTATTCGTTATCAGATTTAATCTAACTGTTTTACTTCATTTATTTTATAGATAACAATATTTGTCAGTCAAATAACAGTTGGCAAATTACAATTACGTATCTTTTGTACAGAATATACTTTGGCTGCATTATTTTTATATAATATGTTTTCAACTACCTATTTAACCACTACTGGTATGATTTGTAACATAACCAGCACTTGTAATAGTTCAAATGCATCCATTTATTCATTCAACAATTTACCGGGTTATATAATTTGAATTTGAAAACTTACATATTACAAAACATAATTGGTTTTCATCGTTTGTTTATTTATATCAAACTTCATAGCATTTGGCAAGTCACGTGCAACTGAGTTTGTTCTCATTTAATTCGGTTAAGCCCGTTTGTTAACTTATTTAGCGGACAGGGTCATCCGTACTATAACAACTTATTGTACCTTTATTATTGTTTTCTGTATGAAATATGTATGCTTGAACGATGCTTACCGCCTACGCATATATTCATTCTGCTAGCTTTATTATTAGCCGCTTTATTGATTCGATGATCCATTCATGGTATTAAAATCCAGTTTGATGCGTGTTTTGTCCTATTTGGGACTCGTCAGATGAATGTAACTGAATCTCGTAGTAGATGTTCACTCTAGGACTCAAACCCAGTAACCCTCGCTTCAAACGCCATCGCGTTATGCACTTAAACACTGAGTCCTGACAGCCACATCATCTCTGAGATGCAAGTACATCCAATGGAGAATAGCCCGTCGACCAGCATTCTCCAACCCACCCCCTCCTCAGCCTTCCTTTCTAGTTCTATCCAATTGTTATTCATTCTTTTCATGTCTGTCTCCATTTCTCGGTGTCATGTGTTCTTTGGTCTCTTACTTCTCCTTTGGCGCTGCGGATTCTAATGAGGGTTTAAAACCTCATTGATTGATAAGAACTAGGAGGATTATGATTAACTTAAAACAAACTAATCATCGTATCGGCTAATTGGGCAGCAGATAGATAGATAGATAAACTAATTTATATGTTGTCTAAATAGTGTTTATATATAAAACTGAATGTCCGAATTATAACTCTTCATCATGAAAGCCGAGATTCTTTGAAGTTCATGAAACCGATGCTACTTCTGACAACCACAACAACAATTTGTATAGGTACATGGAGTGTCCGGACAATGTGAAGGAAGAAGAAACTACTATGGAGGACAACTGGAAGGGGATCAATGAAGCATTAACTTAAACATATCAGTTGTAAAATTACTTGATGTGTTTGATAATGTAAACCTTAAATGATTGGAAGAACTAGCGACTGCGTCGGAATAAGCTGATAGAGAAGGAAATATGAAACAGCTTTACGATACAAAGAAGAAACTATCAGAGAAATACAGTAAAACAGAGAGACCGGTCAAAGACAAAGAAGGCAAGTCAATCACTGAAATTCAACAACAGCAGAGCAGATGGGTAGATTACTTCGAGGAACTCCTGAATAGGCCGGCTCCAATGAATCCACCGGACATCGAAGAGGCACACACAGATCTTCCCATAGACGTCAACCCACCAACGAAGAAAGAAATCAGATCGGCCATCTGACAAATCAAGAGCGCGAAAGCAGCAGGACCCAACAACATACCAGCTGAAGCACTGAATCCAAACATTGAAGTAATTACAAACATGCTTCACCTTCTATTCAGGAAGATTTGGGAGGAGGAACAAGTGTCGATGAACTGGAAAGAAGGACTTCTCATCAAGATTCCAAAGAAAGGAGATCTGTCAATACCAGGAAAGGTCTTGAACAGAGTGTTGCTGAACGGATGAAAAATGCAGTAGACACCCAACTTCGAGATCAACAAGCTGGATTCTGTAGGGACCGGTCGTGCACATACCAAGTCGCGACACTACGGATCATCGTTGAACAATCAGTTGAATGAAACTCGTCACAGTATATCAACTTTATTGAATATGAAAAGGCAGTTGACGGTGTAGACATGAGAACGTTATGGAAACGTCTTCTACACAACGAAGTTTCTGAGGTGACTGTTTACATTTTCCGGAACTCATACGACAGAATACAGTGCAAAATAGTGTACGGAGGACAGCTGACAGATGCATTCCAAGATCTCGACATCTAAGGGAAAACATGGTATAAAACGGACAGCTCAGAACCAGTTAGACAATATGGACTTTGCAGATGACCTAACCCTCCTACTGCACACACACGAACAAATGCAGATAAAGACAGACAGTGTACCAGCAGTCTCTTAATCAGCAAACCTCAGAATACACAAGGGGAAAACCTAGGTCCTCAAATATAACACAGAGAACAGCAATTCAATCACACTTGATGGCGAAACTCTGGAAGCTGTAGAATCATGCACATACCTGGGAAACATCATCGATGAACAAGGAGGATCAGATGCAAACGTAAAGGCGGGAATCGGTAAAGCAAGGGTCGCATTCCTACAATTGAAGAATATATGGGACTCAAAACAACTTTCAACCAATATCAAAGTCAGAAATATGTGGTTTTCTTAGTGGGCTACACCTGGAACCTTTGACTTAAAGGTCTTATCCACAAGGTAGTGAGGCAATGTAAAGAGAGGTAATTCCAAAGTAACCGATCATCAACAATTGGTTCATACACTATTTGTTCCCTCAGGATACTGGAGTCCATGTTCACCAAGTGGTCTGGAATTAGGATTTTTTACTCCCCTATGTCGACCGTCCGTATCCACTAACCCAGTTAAAACACCAAACATTCGATTTTAGTGTTCTCAATTTCGTAAACAATACCAAACGTGCGAAAAGGAAGTGAGTGGGATTGGTTGTATACACGTGATTATGTAAGAGCATTTCGAGAGGGATGGCTGATTCACATGATCTTTGACTGTACCTGGGCACTTGTGGGCTGTTATTGACGAATCATGAATGAGACTGAACTACTTCATTAATATGACACACAAAACCAGACCATAAAATGAATAACATTATTTACTATATTTAGTTGTGTAAGTTGATCATATAGTAGTGGGATTGTGCATTAGGATGATGTACCCGTTGGAAGTAAACTTATTCTGTCTTGCAATATTTAAAGCAGTTGTAATCAATGAAAAGCAAGAGAGCATTTGGAGATGGAGTGCGGACTCTTCTCACCCTAGACCGTACCAGGACATTTGAGGCTTCTATCTTTGTATTTCACAAAATTGGTGTCTTTTTTATATTTGGAAAAATACTCATTTATTAGAGATAGCCAGTTCTTTTGATCTACTGGTATAGATGTGCACATTATCTTCAAAATAATCGGATTGTTTAGATCAATATCATTAGTAGAGTATACTGTCGAAGCTTAGATTTTACTTGTCACTACAAATGTTCTACATTTGAGATTGTGATCAAATGGATCGGACTTTGTAATATGGGATAAATTGTTTGATAATAAATCGACTGGACAATCCTGACTTTAATGTTTTTGCTGTTGGAAATCCTTCTCAGGATGGATTTTTAATCACCGAAATCAATATCCATGTGAAACGTATTCTTTGGCTCTGAGTTTATTGATGATTATGGATTTGTAAACTTTATAATGGTGTCAAATATCTATTTATTTATTTATTTGAACACATGAATATTGGTACAAGAGAGCGCCAACATATATGCGCCACACAAAACAATGAGAATTCGAAGAGAAATAGAAAAAAAACTAAGGAGTGATTGGCATCCCATCATCCTCGCAGATTGTTTCGCTCACACCAGCCTTCTTGCTGCCAGTGGCTCGGATGAGCTGGAAGAGCTTCCGGTAATTACCAGATGCAGCTGCTGCTTCCAGCTCATTAGCACGCTTCGACCACCAGGCTTCTCGGTCCTTACGCAAGCTTTGCCCAATTTCCTTACGTAACATCCTTCGTTTGTGGTCAAAACTCACGGTCACCCGGAGTAGACCGACGGGCTTCAATGAGTTGTAAGGAACCTGCAGAAACCCAGTGCTTAAAAGCGGGACGTTTCGCAAACCCACAACTGACTGTTCCCGCCATTTTCATGGCGTCATGCAATTGCAAACCAATGCTCATCCATTGGTTGCAATTGCGATAGCTCAGTTGGTAGAGCGGAGGGCTGTAGATTGGTGCAGTGATCCTTAGGTCGGTGGTTCGAATCCGCCTCGCCGGAGATGGTGGGCTTTTGGTCGGACATCAATCGATGCATCACACCGACCAGTCAGTCACGAGCCACACTGTGTCGTTGGTCGCCTCACCACAGTGAGTCGAATCGCCTGCGACCAGCACATCGCCAACGTGTCCGAGCGTGCTTTCACCACCACACATGGTGTGCGAGGATGAGGCAGCCAACTGGTCATCTGCGTCGTTTTGCCCCGCGTGGGTCTAGTGGTTAGGATTCCTGGCTTTCACCCAGGCGGCCCGGGTTCGATTCCCGGCGCGGGAGAATTTTGCCCCCGAATGCCCTGGTACGGCCGAGAGTGGAGAGAGTCCGCTCTCCCTCTCGAAATACTCTCACACGGCGCGCGTATACAGCCTCTGCCAGGGAAGTCCTACTCATTGCCTTCTCGTGGCGGAGGTGTTGTTTACGAAAATGAGAGGACGAAAAGCGAATGTCCGATGCTTTAACCGGATCACAAACCAATGGTGCACATGGGTTCCAGTATCCTGAGGGAACAAATGGCGTATGAACCAATCGTTGGTCACCGGCTACCATGGGACCTTTAGGTCAAAGGCTCGGGGTGTGGCCCCCTAAGATAACCACCTGCTTCGGTGTAGGCACCCGGGCAGTATCACAGCCCACACACAAATGATGAACTCTTTATGTCTATGAAAATTACTTTTCTCGCTTCGAAAAAACAATCAATGTCAGATATCTAGATGAATACCTATTCTTGATCAATATTTTTCCAAAAAGGGTTAA